AAAAATATACAGTTGTGTTTAAAATAATAGCAGTGTGTTTAAAAAAGTGAATAAAGCTCAAAGTCTTTCTAACAGCTTTTATTTCCATACACACAAATGCATTGGGAACACTACACATTCTATTCCAAATCAAAACATGAAGAAAAATATATCAAATTTGTGTTGTTCCTCTAAAAAAATTGAAGAAATGTGAATATTAGACTGTTCAAAAAAATAGCAGTGTTTGTATTCTTCCTTACAAACACTCACATTCACTATATAAACTGAAAAACTTTGAAGATTTTGCTTTCCTTTGAATCACTTAATTAATATTTAGTTGTATAAGCACTGTTTCTGAGAACTGCTGTACATCTGTGTTGCATGGAGTCAACCAACTTCTGGCACCTGTGAACAGGTATTCCAGCCCAGAATGATTGGACTACATTCCACAGTTCTTCTCTATTTCTTGGTTTTGCCTCAGAAACTGCATTTTTGATGTCACCCCCACAAGTTTTCAATTGGATTAAGATCCGGGGATCGGGCTGGCCACTCCATAACGTCAATCTTGTTGGTCTGGAACCAAGATGTTGCACGTTTACTGGTGTGTTTTGGGTCGGTGTCTTGTTGGAACACCCATTTCAAGGGCATTTTCCTCTTCAGCATAAGGCAGCATGACCTCTTCAACTATTCTGATGTATTCAAACTGATCCATGATCCCTGGTATGCGATAAATAGGCCCAACAACGTAGTATGAGAAACATCCCCATATCATGATGCTTGCGCAACCATGCTTCACTGTCTTCACAGTGTACTGTGGCTTGAATTCAGTGTTTGGGGGTCGTCTGACAAACTGTCTCCGGCCACTAGACTCAAAAAGAACAATCTTACTTTTATCAGTCCACAAAATGTTGTGCCATTTCTCTTTAGGCCAGTCAATGTGCAAATTGTAACCTCTTCAGCAGATGTCTTTTTTTCAACAGTGGGACTTTGTGGGGGCTTCTTGCAGATAGCTTGGCTTCACATAGGCGTCTTCTAATTGTAACAGTACTCACAGGTAACTTTAGACCTTCTTTGATCTTCCTGGAGCTGATTGTTGGCTGAGTCCTTGCCATTTTGGCTATTCTTCTATCCATTCGAATGGGAGTTTTTCAATTTCTTCCAAGTCTTTCAGGTTTTGGTTGCCATTTTAAAGCATTTGCAATCATTTTAGCTGAGCAGCCTATCAATTTCTGCACTTCTTTATATGTTTCCCCTCTCCAATCAACTTTTTAATCAAGGTACACTGTTCTTCTGAACAATATCTGGAACGACCCATTTTCCTCAGAATTTCAGAGAGAAATGCACTGTAACCAGCATGTACAACATTTGCTGCCTTCCTTCCTTAAATAAGGGCAATAATTGCCACCTGTTTTTCAAAGAATGAAGGACCTCACTAATAGAACTCCACACTGCTATTATTTTGAACATGCCCCTTTCAATTAGTGTTTCAATTACACAGAATCAGCAGCATGCATGTCATGACTGTTGGGTCTGTTGGATTTCTATTACTCTACTACACCTGCTAGTAAATTATTTGCCATGTAGAAATATCATTTCTACCAAAAACAGTGATTGATCAGGTTAGTGATGTCTGACTGCTATTATTTTGAACACAACTGTATCATATTTTGGAGTATTGTGTAATCTTCAGGCCTTAAATGATTTTTTAAACGTGCAAAAAATGCAAAAACGGCTCTGGCAGCGAAAGGGATAAAGGATAAGCTTGACACTCTCCTTTCCTGTCGAGGACCTAATCAGTGCTCATTACATTGCAAGGTCTCTCCCCTCCCTGCTAGTCCCTGGGAGCAGTGCTGGAGACAAGCAGGGAATGGAGGAGGAGACAAACAGCACAATGTTACGAATATTAAACGTTTAATTCACCATAAAGCCCTTTTTTGATTTTAAAAGCCCCAAACATTACCTAAAGCAGATTTAAATATGGTTTTGGTACGATGTATTTTTTTTATCAGGACAAGTAGATTGTCATGAAGGACAAGTAGATTGAGGCACCAATTTAATCCCTGGACAAGTAGTTTTTTTTCAAAAATTTCCATACCCCTGATACCTCATTGACTTTCCTGGAATCCTTTGTTATGCCTGGCTTGTCTGCCACTGGCGATGCTGGAGTGCACGGAGTCTCCGATATTGGCGCTGCTTCAGACACTGACTGTGACACGAGCCCGGGCCCTGACACAGGCGAAACAGCATCAACCTTAGACCCATACGTGGTTGAAGATGCACAAGTGCTGCAGGGCTGACTGGAAAAATTTTTTCCAGTAAGCCCGTGCATGAAAAGTCAGTCATTGAATCGACTTCTCAAAAACTGGAACAGCCACTGATTGATTAACATTTGCTGGCTAAATTTTGATCAGTCTATGGCCAGCTTCACCCTCTTTATTTATCCTTGTGGCTACTGTTAGTGAGATAGAAGGTGTGCGAATTCAAATTTCTACAGCTTTAACTGGAACAAGAAGTGGGGATAATTTTCCATTGGGAACACCTGCTCTGATGATAACTGTATAAAGCTGCTTATAGATGGATGAAAATTTGGACAGTTCAGCAGGGACCTAATGAATTTTGATCCATCTATGGCTGTTCCCACTCATCAAAACTCAACCTAGCTATCGACTTCTTTTGAATCGGACTGTTGGAAATTTTTTCTTGATCAGCCAGCTGCATCAACTGATCAGTGTATTCTGACAGAGGAGTCCTATTGTCAGAATACAATGGCACAGAGGGGAGGATTCCTCCATCCACCTCGCATGTGTGGATGAGGGAATCCGTTAATTTTTTTTGATCATTCCTTTGGCTGACTGAAAAAAATGAGGCATTTTTGATAAATAATATATTCAAGGATAACAAATTCAAGAGCATGTGTGGTAAATAAAAAGAAAAGAGAAATTCAGCCTAGCCATGAGACTGTGTTGAAAGTTCATTCATTCTGAAGCCTAGATCAGGCATAGTCTGATGTTGTAAGCCTGTACTTCACAAGTGACCATATATGGTACAACCATGTGATTCCAATACTGCACAGTGGAGGTGAGCATTAGTTCCCAAAGTTTCAAAAAGGTGAAAAAGGTAAACCACATTTTCTTGCAGGTACATTAGGCAACAGTCAAGGACATGAAACCTTGCAAGAAAGAATCCAGCCCAGGTCTTTAGATGTCAACTTGGAAGGGAATGATGCAGACCTGCATGAACAATAGAGTGGGATAACAGGGATGTCCATGGTTGAGGAAGGGCATGGGCCCTGGGGGGGATCAATAGGCAACAGGAAGGTTAAAACAGAATGTGCACAAATGTGAAACTGGACGTGGAATACAGGCAATAAGTAAATGGCTCTACAAGAATGGAACTGAGCTCAGCAGAAAGGTACAGTACAATGTGAGATATACTCAGTCTGGTGTAGAGTCATGGAATGCTGCAAAGGAAAAGAAAGTTAGTTCCATCAGTGAATGAGTCTTGGGATGACACCAGAGAGGATCTTCAAGGAGGAGGTGACAACGGTTGTGGAGGAGCCCAGTTTCTGCCTGGAGAAGTTGTAGACATATTAGACTTGTATAAATGCAGATTCTTGGTGCAGACCTAAGCTTTGGAGAATGATGTAAGCTCAGGGGTCTTGCCTTGATGCACAAAAGTGAATGTAATGGGAAGTATAATTTCCATTACCAGTTTCATTGGATTGTAGGAATTGCCAGGAACGATTTTATCCTCTTAAGGATTTTCACTGGTGAACAATCAGGGAATAGCTCTGCCTCTTGTGCAGCTTGCAGGAGACTTTTTTTTTACTTTTAATAATGTACCAGACTATAAAGTCCTTCAGAGAGTCTTCCAAGTTGTGTGCTGCCAGAGCTCAAAGGATGCGATCAGGTTCTAAGTGATCCATTTGTAGCTCTAGGGCCAGCACCTGGAACAAGACAATTACTGACTGCAGGTTCAAGATGGTCTCAGGCAGGAACTGGAGATGGAAGTTGGAGTGGCTATTGCAGGTTTCACAGTCTCTACCTGTGATCACAGTGCTGCATTTTCATTCTTGAGGGCTTCCATTTCCTTCTTGTAGAGGTGCATTTTAGATGTCTTAGATTTGGCATGTTGGTTGGTGAGTTTCATAGACATCTTGTGAAAGGACTTTTGTAGCATGACCTCAAACCGAGTTAAGAGGTCAGGGGTAGCAAGTACAGTATGCCCAGGATCAGGCTATCTGTGCCTCAGCTGAGTCATCAGAGTTTTGGTGTGACTCTACATATTCTCTAGCAGAGTGCCACCTTGCCTGTTCTCTCAAGGGTCTTGCATATAGTTTTTTGGGCCAGGTTTGTTCCTTTTCTTTGCCCTCTAAAATATCATTCTGAATATCAGCCAAATGAACAAGATACTGTTAACATGTAGAGTGGTATTGTAAATATTTGGCTGAAATGTGCATCAGTAGGGCAAATCCCCCCAGATGATGCAGGGTTCAGTCACATGCATCTAGGTGACTACTCGCATGTATTCCCCAATAATTGCTTTTTAAATGACTGCTAATGTGTGGAAATGGTGTTTGTTTAGCAACTTGGTTTCTAGCCATTAACTGTGCATTGAGAGCTATTAGAAAAAGACTAATTACCATTCACAATACCATTCAAGCTGTGTATTGATTTGAAACATGTAATTTGCTAAATATTATTACACCATAAGTAGATATTACAATTGACAATATAATGCTTATGGATATAAACATGATTTAGTTAGGAGAACTAGTGATGTTAAAGAGATACTTTCACTATTCCCATTATAGACCCACTGAAACTTAGCTTGCCGGCATTACCCCACCAATCCTCCTGCTTCCTTAAAGTGTTACTAAACCCACAACAGTAAAATCAGTCTGTATAGCAGTAATGCATGCTTGTTATACTCACTGTGGAACCTAGCGGGTTAATCTCTGCTTTGTGTAAAAAGACCGTTTGATCCTGATTTCTCTAATCCTCCCCTTCTTCCAGTGCCCCCCTCTTATCTACTGATAAGACATATCGTGTGGAGTCACTCTGCACATGCTCAGTTTGGTGTGTATTGCTAGAGAGGTTTTTTTTCTTTCTTGGGAGAGTGCATCAGCACAGGGCCAATCAGCACTGTCCAGACAGATGTCAGGGGTTCTGCATCCTCCTAGAGCAGAAAGAAACCGCTTCCTACAAGCTTTAAGCAGTGCTCTGCTGAACACAGATAGAAGTCACAAGAATGCTCTAACTGCTGATGGGAAAAGGTATTTAGCAGTTTATATTTACTAAAATAATTGCGTTTCCATGTTCTGTGTACTGTGGGAGAGCATCCACAGTGAATGCAAGGTCCTGGGTTTAGTAACACTTTAACTGACAAAAATACATAATGCTTCTAGTCTGGGCATAGGACCTCTCTCCACTTGTGACAGTGCTTGGGTCCAGTAGCCCGAGCAATGTGACATGATCAAGGGACTGCTCTCCCTTTCACTTGCATCAGCTAATACTGGGGACTTTAGTGATAAGTGATAAGGGGAGTATAATTAGGTTTGGAGGAAAGGCCCTTTGCACCGTATTTCTGGATTTGGAAGGATAGTAAAAAAAACTACTATGGAGAAACTGAAACTGGCAATCTGATAAGTCTGGAATTTCCCAGAAAGACTTTTACACCTTACCTAACAACTGTGATCATGCTGATTTAGGGAAATGTCAGACAGTCTCTCACCCCCGGTTCACATATACGCGGCCATGCGGGACGCGTTTTGCACGGGCACGAGAGCCCATTCATTTGAATTGACTCCCATGCCCAAGACACCCAGGGAAGATGTCCCTGCACTTCTTTTGAAAATGCAGCCCACATGGGAACCTCGGTTCCCAGTATGGTTGCATTTTCCAGTGCGGCCGGCGTGCCATTAGAAATAATAGCACCCGCACGTGGGCCCGCATTTCTCTGCATGGGTCGGCTGCACGGATTTTTGTGCGGATCCGCAGTGGCACCACCCGCACAGATGTGAACCTAGGGTTAAGGCTCGCTGCCAATACCCTCATACTCAGCTTTTCCGTGATTGCATGTCACTTCCTTGGTCTGGCAGAGCTCTTCTGAAATACCTGGAACCTTCAAGTATGGGAGAGCTTTCAATGTCCAACCAGGATGCTGGTATGAACACGTGAGGAAGAGGGTAACATCATCAATGCTATGTAAACTTCCAGCTCCAACGAAGGAGCAAAGTGGTGGAATTGTATGGGAAAGGAGAGTATCAAAGGGGGGGGGGGGGTGCTTTCAAGAGACTCTGTGAGTCACTGGGAAAAAATGCTCTTTAAGCAAACAATAAATTATAAATAAAATACATTACACATAATAACAAATACATGGCAGCATCATATTGGGTTCTGTTATCTATGGGGCTGATTTAAAAGGAAAGTGTCAATCACTATCGGATTGATGTCATATTATTACTCAACACCACGGCCTGCATTTTACACTTCAATACTAAACTACAAGATGTGTGGATCCTATGGTGTCCAATGGAACTGGTAGGAGGGACAAATTTTGAACAGTCATATGACTCAAAACGCCACACAATTTTTCCCCGCCCATTCATTATAAAAGTATTAGAAACACTAATACTAAATACAAAGCAAATTAGAAACACTATCAATTTTTAATACTGTGTGTGCCTTCCTCGCACTTACTGACTGGTGATCGAATCATTTGGACAGGAAGTAAATGAAAATCTCCAGTAAGGTCAAGTACAAGATAACAATAAAAATCTAACACAAGTTCTAAATCTATTATTATTCTATCTATTAGAATAATTGTTTTTATTTCTGTCAGTGTCCCCACCAGAGAAATTTCCCCTTAAATCTCTGCTCAGAGCGGAGCGGAGAACTGAGTGATCAGCTGTGTTTGATCGCTTATTTTTCACTTCAGAGCGGCGAGGGATTGGATGCTCCATTCACCTAGGTAAGCATAAATGTTTTTTCTATAAAGTCTATTCTTGTCTTTTAAGGACCAAATTTTTTTTCTTTATTTATGACCTTATTGCAGACTCTGTTTGCTAGCTATTCATTCAACTGACTTCCAGGAAACAACAGTTCCAAAAGTTACTAATAATTCAGGAAGTTTCACAGACAGAACTTCAATAAAGGTTCTCCAGCAAAATATTTACCCAGCCAGCAACACAACAGTAGCCTAGATTTACACTCTTAATTAAAACATAAAATACATCAGATTAAAAAAAAAAAAAATTATTATATACTATACCATACTGGTAAAGCCCATAACCAGGAATTACAAAAAAATTACTCTTGTAGCTGGCTCCCTAGCACTACAAGGGTGAAATGCTCATTAAATTAGAATGAAAGGCAAAAACTTTTTTTTGTTTTGGACACAGTGGGGATGGATTAGAACACATTATGATTTCTTGCTCCAGAACAACATACTTAAAGAGGCGCTAGGAACTTTTAGACTTGCAAGTGTAGTAAGATGAAATAAAAAGCCAAACAAGCTGAATAGCTCTGGTGAGGCGACTTCCAAATAGGAAGATTTCTCTTGATGGACACTCCGACAGTAGTTCAAGCCATAGTAATACAGAGAGCATGCCAGACCAAAATGGGATAAAAGAGTCCAAGATAATTTTAATTGTTGGTAAAAAAAAGTTATCTAGAAAAAGCCAACGTGTTTCAAGGGGCAACACCTTTCTCCCTTCATCAAGGCTCAACAAGAGATACAATTGGAAGGATAGTAATTTCACAGATCTATATTAGAATCAGTATTAAAATCTCTACACAAATTAACAACTTGTTAACAACTTTCTCAGCAGTTGCTGAGCAGACATTGTTCCCTCTTGGTTCATCCAAGTTTTATCCTGTGTTGAGCCCTGATGAAGGGGAAGTGGTTTTGCCCCGGAAACACATTGGCTGTTTTTATATGACCTTATTTATATCCAACAATTAAAATTATCTTGGACTTTTTTTATCCAGTTTTGGTCTGGCACTCCTTTCTCTATGTCTAAAGTTTGTACTGCTGTCTGTGTTCCCACTAGGGAGATTCTCCCTGTCCATTTGTTATGTTTATTATTATCACTAAAAGTGAAATTTCCAAATTATGGGTTGTTGCCAGAACATTTGTAGATACATTCCAAAGTGGCCACAAGTTCTGGTGACATCCAGGGATTCCCTAACTTTGACCGAATTTCCTGTCACTTCTTGGATTGGCTATGGGATAGGAAATAAAGGGACATCTCCACAATGGGACACAGAGAGCAAAAAAAATTTTGACAGGGGTTATACCCTCCCTTTCTCTATCCAAAATGAAAAACATTTTGCCTTTACTTCTACTTTGACACTTGGGGATGAGGAATAAAATATAATGTTTAGCTCATTTCTTGTTCTGGCAAGTTCCCTCAATCTGTGTGACTGGTCCCCCAAATCCTCTTCCAGAAGATGCTCCAGCTGGCAGTCACACATTGACGTCATCAAGTACAATGCAGGGCCAATAGCCTTTGCATTGTATGGGATGATGGTGAGGGTAGGTACTGCCCACACATTAGAGTGGAAGAGAGCACCACAGCCTGCAAGAGCTAGTATAAGGTAAGTATCATAGCGTATTCCTTATCAATTTAGAGCAGGTGTGTCAAACTGGCAGCCCTCCAGCTGTTGCGAAACTACAAGTCCCATATTGCCCCTGCCTTTGGGAATCATGCTTGTAACTTTCAGTCTTGCAATGCCTCATGGGACTTGTAGTTTGGCAACAGCTAGAGGGCCACCAGTTTGACACGCATTCCCTAGAGAAAACAAACATTTGCCCATTGCACTGAAAGTATAACTAAAGGCAAAACCATTTTTTTAAGTTTTGGATAGAGTGGAGAAGGGTTAGAACACCTAATATGTTTTTATTGCTGTCTGTGCCCCCATTAGGGTAATTTGCCCTCTTGATTTGTCCTATTTACTGTAATTGAAAGTGAAAGAAACCCCAAATTTTGGGCTGTCCCCAGAAAAGTAGTAGTGGAGAAATCTTCCAATGGAAGACACTAGCTCTTGGAGACCTGGGGGTCCCCAAGGAATTCCGTTAAATTGTAGGGATTTCCTCACACTTCCTGATTGGCTATGGAACAGGAAGTGAAGGTAAATCTCCACAATGGGACACAGATGGTGAAAAATAAACTGACAGGGCTAGCCCTCCCTTGCTCTAGCCCTTACTCTGGGGCAGCACAGTGGCTAAATGGTTAGCACTTCTGCCTGACAGTACTAGGGTCACTGGTTCAAATCCCAACCCTATCATCACCTGACTGGAGTTTGCATGTTCTCCCTGTGCCTGCATGGGTTTCCTCCCATACTCCAAAAACATGCTGGGAGGCTAACTGGCTCCAGTCTTAATTGGCCCTAGTATGTGTACATATGAATGTAAGTTAGGGACTTTAGATTGTACACCCCTTGAGGGCTAGGGACTGATGTGAATGTACAATATATATGTAAAGCACTGCATAAATTGACAGCGCTATATACTGTAAGTACCTGTAATAATCCAAAATGAAAAAAAAAAGTTTTGCCTATAGTTCTGTCTGAAGGGGACATAACTGCAAGAATATTTTAAAATTCCTGGAAATAAGCTTTATAAATATACAGTTATTCAAAATATACTTATTACTGTAGTTCTGAAGGAGACAGAGTTAATGAAGAGACAAATGGTTAATTTACCGTATCCTAAAGGGAAGCATCAAATCTAAATGCCTCTGTGGAGTGAGGAATGAAACTAGCGACATAGTGAAGATTAATTGAAATTGAGTCTCGGTTAATAATATGGAGTAGAATTTTCTCTGCATGTGATCTTGAAGATGCATTGCCTTGCATGCTAGGTTCAATCCCTATTAAAGTCAATTTGAATGATTAGAAAAGATAGGGTTTTATTATAGTGATCCTTCCATCCATTCTTAACAAAAGGACACACCACAGATGCATTCTATTACCATTACTAACCAAAAATCTTTTACTGTGCCTCTTTCTGATTTCATTTTCACTGGGAGCTGATGTAAATATTTCTAAAAAAAATTGGACAATTAATATCATTTTAACCAGAGATTCTTTCATAAAACCAGTAGAGATGGGTTCACTTTGAGGGCTTGTTCACATCAGAATGCTGTGCGGGAAACCCATGTTTCTGCGCGCATTTCCTGCCTCGTGTTCAAAGCACACTAGGTGTGTGATCTGCTTGGCGTGTCAATGTAT